GTACAAAACGCGCGCCATTTATTTTTTAATATTATATATTTTTACATAAAATATTTACATCACATATTATATAATTTTGCCACTAAAATCTCACATAATTACTAATATTAACTAACGTTACTCCGAATTTTCATTTCCAAAATTTAATATTTATTCCTGTTCCTGATATTTTCTTCGTGTGCAAAGCTCAATGAAAAGACATATATATACCTTATGTATATAATTTTGTTATAAACGTTGAGACCTTTATTGTTTGAGATAGCGATACAATAATGCGCGACCTTGGTACTTTGTTTACAATCGACAAGTATTGTATACGCAACGCGTTATCATTCAACCACCGACGCTCGTGCGGGCAGGTGATGTTAGCTAACATTATATTTAATTTTATTGTTTAAGGTTTCATTATCGAAAATCCTATAAAACGCTTCGTGGAAATTAAATTTGATTTGTAACATGTATTGAATTTCGTCTAGCCGAACTATTATTGTTTCAGTTAAGAGTTTACGTGCCGCGGTTGGTATGTCACGTGTTTACGAGCGCTCCGCGCGCTACCAATGTCTCACCGGCGGTCGTAGGGGTAGGTCGCAGTACGCATTTCTTCGGTCGTATTTCTTCGCATTTCTTTAATGCTAAATGATACCGAATGAATCATGTTATATCTTACGAATGTAATAAGTAAATGCTTCTTAACGCGCGTAAATTAAACTCGACTCAAGTAAACATATCGAAATGACGAATCTCTAACAAAGTATATACATATTTAACGTGATTTATTCCTTTGATATTCATGAATTTTTATAAACGATAATCCCTCCAATGGGCACGGCCTTGACGTGGCAGAGGGGCTCAGTATTCCGAGGGATTCCTTTGGGTTCCCCAACGGAATCCCAAAGACGAAGAAGCTAACAGTACCCGTTGCACCGTTATTAGTAACATTAATATTAACATTAGGTAATATTATTGTTATTAATAATATACTAACTAAATATATACTAACATAGCCACGAGTCGTGTTCAATGGCTCTTATGTGGCAAGTTAATCGGTCGGTTTTTTTGATCGACCGTCATTTTTCCGCCACCGTTTTCAAGTGAATGAACGAACTGCAACCAGTTCGTCGCGCCGCACGTCTGCTTCGGGAGTGCCGACCAGACTAAAAGACTTTTATTTAAAATTAGTTCGCGCGCGATTATAATAATTCGCGAGTGTTTTTCGCGAGTGTCCTGTGCTACGAGGACATCCGACGACTCGACATCTCGAGAGGAGGAGGAGGCCTAGGAGAGGCATCGGGCACCGGCGGAGCAACCTTGCGGTAAATATACATATTTTCTTTCTCAACATAAAATTAATCAGTTTCACATTTATTTGGATTAATAAATTTCGATAATTTAAAATTTATATAGTTTTTTTTTTCGGAAAAACAGTTTAAAATATTATACGTTTTTATTTCTATAAAGATTTTTATTGAAAATTATTTTATTATTTTAATATTTAATTTAATTGAATTTTTAATTGAAAAACAAATATGTAAATTCAATATACGTAAAAACTATTTTGTAAAATATCTGTCATTTAGAACACTGTTATAATTTGAACGTTCTGTTTCTGTGTTACAGAATCATCGTAGCTACGTGGCAGATTCACTCCGCTGTTGCGCATCGGATTGGTGAGTGACACAATTTTTTTAATGGGGTTACAAATCTGTGAAACTTGTCTTAGATTATTTTATTATATATTTATATTTATAAAAGTATTGCAGTTGGAATCTTCACAGATTCGTTGCCCTAAAATGGATAGGCATAAATAATTTGGAATATATATTTAATGAGTGCAACGAGAGAACTAATCGGCATAACGGAAAACCGACAACAATAATTTCGATATATTCGAGTATCGACTTAACATGCCTTTTTTAGAAATGGATTTTATTTAAAAAGCCATTAGTGTACGGTGCGTATATCTTTTGATAATACATATGAATTTTACGTATGAATTTTAATATAATTCAATAGTGTACATTTCGATAGCTTATATTCGGTGTAGCAAAGTTTTTTTAACATATATCTCTTTCATATAGAAAATGCGCCAAAAATCTAGAATATTGTTAAATATCACAACAATGTAAATAATATAATTTTGCAGAAAAATTTTCAAACAAAAGTTGTAAGGTTTCAAGAGGCCTATAAGATTGGGGTATTGATTCATTTAAAGATAGTGCCATTGATTTTCTATGATCATCATTTTTTTAATGAAATCATATATTTTCCGTTATGCAACATTCTTCGAGTTATTCTATATAAAAAAATATTAAACTACAAATATGAAAAAGTTAATAATTTTCGAAATATTTTATATTCGTGCATATTCTGATATAAAACATATAACATATAACATATAACATATAACATATAACATTTTTCGTAAATTATTCACTTTTTTATAACTTTAATATTTTTATGCACAGAATAATGAAACAAATCGATTGATATAGAAAAAAACAAGCTGTTGTTTAACAAAGGTAAATATTTGCACATTATGTAAATATATGATTCCACCTGAAAAAAATGGCGATCATAAAGATCTCAACAATAGCTGCACCTGTAAATGAATCATAATTATATGGCTCCCTCGAAATTTTACAATTTTTGTCTGAAACTTTTCCGAAATTTTATTTTTACGAGATATTCAACTATATCCAGATTTTTGGCACATCCTATCTCGATAGTACAAACCAATTTTTTTATATTTATCAAATATAATCTTAGTTCAAATTAAAACAATAATCAATGCAAAAACAAAGCTTGCCATTGTACAATTCAATATAAGTTTTCAATTTTCCACTTTAAACAAGATTCATTCTATACAACTAGGGTTGCCATCTGTCCTCTTTTCCCCAGACACTGTCCTCTTTTTTAGGGCGTCCGGGGACGTCTGAGGGGATTGTCTAAAAGCGTCCGGGATAATTATAAGCGTCTGGGGTTTCAAGAAATCTTCTAAATATTTTGTTTTGATTCCTCTCGCAGTACTCTGCATTACCAAATAGCACAGATATCACATAAGAGTTAAAATTTTTTAATTTTAATATCTAATAAAACTTAAACTAAATCTATAATAAAACTTTTTATTCGAAATGTTCGGGATTTTTGACTTGTAAGTCCTAGTTTTGAAATTTTTAATATGGCAACCCTACGTACAACTCACTTTACAGTGTAAAACGGAATTGTATCGTTTTGCGTAAGTTTGCAATTCTCTAGATATTAAAATATTTCGCAATGATGTGCCTTACACAATTTAGAATTTGTAATGAAATCTACAGCAGAAGAATGCAATTGTACAACTCTAATTCTATATGTACGTATATACGTGTATATATGTGTGTATGTAAAAACATATCATAGCATCGCATTTTTCTACATATTAACAATGTAGAGGGATAATATTTTCATGCGATTGTCTCCCGAACTATTTGTTATTCGAAAAAATGCTACAAATAAGGCCTACTCTGTTTCAAGGCATCTTATGTTGGAAATATTGTTTTTCTGGAAATGTCCTTGAAATTTTAATATGACTTTTATTTTTAACTGAAATTTTATATTTTTTATCATATGATATAATTTCTCTAGTTATTCTAGATGTAAAAGTATTAAAAGTAAAAGTATTAAATATACAGTTATCATGAAGTTAATAGTTTAGATCTTTTATACTTTATTCATTTTAACATGAAATATTTTGTAAGCTATTTATTTTTTTCATAACATTACATCTTAATATTTTTATGTATAATAATAACAATATTATGTATAATAATAACAAATAGAAAATAATAACACAAATAAATTGATATCAGTAAAACGAAAGTAATTGTTTTTTAAAAAATAATGCA